AACTTACTGAATTTTGAGTATGACAGACAGATTCTAATTTCCATTTGACCATGGAGGCTTGGGGGGAATATATCAAAAGTTATTTAGATAGGCTATGATGAAGAGTAGCACCAACTGAGATTTACAAAACAACGTAAATCTATGCATCAAAATCCTATGGAAGGCACAAAGGGAAGCAGCCCCAAACTCATTAAGGCTCTTCAGTAAATAACAGTAGTTCATAACCTGCATCTCAAACATCTAAATGCTCCTAAATTTGGAAACCAGTGTTTAGATTCTAATACCTCACATGTAAACATCGAACATTAATTTTAGATACAAAATCAAAATACTCCCAGAAAAATTCTCCCAAGCAAGGATGACCAGGAATCACACAGATTTGTTACACTGCAATTCTATGCAAGACTCACCAGATCTCCTCTTTCTTATCATTTACACATTTCACCTTACTGAAATAGATATTTAGCAGCCTGCTACTCTTCCAGGCTGAGCTGCAGCAGAAGCACACATGTGTATGTATACACAGCTGGGCAAAATCCAAGAATCAGATACCATCACTCAAAATACAACATATAAGCAATTTACAGTAAAGCCAAAGCCTTGCAGACTTTGCAGTCCCCGAAGTGCAGGACACCAGGAACACTTGACAACAAACTAACTTGTGGCTCCTGATAATCAATTTTTTGTGCTAGATTCATCTACATCGTAACTGAAACAACCACACACAAGTATGGATTATTTTTTCAGAAGAGCGCCATACACCTGCTATCATCCTGTTATCCTTTACAACATGTATGAAGGAATTAATGATATTCTTTATGAATTCTCATGATCAAGTGCTGCTCAGGGATGAGTCATAAGTCACCACACATTTTAATGAATTAGTGTGTTATATGCACACTTTAAAACACAATACTGGAATTATAAAACGCCACCAAAAATGTAAGTCTTTCTAAAACAATGCTAGCAAAATACAGAGGAAGTAAAATGAAAAGCCAGACTGAATTTTTATGCCCAGCTTCCTTTTCATGGTTAATTGTTGCAGCCTGAAGAGTGCCATCCTGGTGCAGTTGAAGCCAAAGAGCTGCAAAATCCTGCTGTGCCCTTTCTGAGATGGATTTCAGCTCCATTCTCTTCAAAAAGGAAAGCCGCAATTAAATCCATGCATGATATTAGTCCAGTGTTATATATTTATTTGAAGCTCAGTGATGGGAGCCCCGAAGTGATTTTTCTGTAAGTCAATGTCACTGGCTCTCATGTTCTCTTGTAACACTGATGCAAAAACATGATTTGAAAACTGTTCTAATCTGTCCTCGTTATGCAACACTAAAGTTCTGCAGTACTACAGTCTATCTCTCAAGTCGCTAGTATTATCACCAACCCATTAATATCTTTCTTTCCAAAAAATTAAATAAAATCATAAAAATAAAAATTAAGTGCTCTAGTCCTTTCAATCACAAGACAAGACATCAACTCTCAGCAGTCATCCAACACATAGGTCCCCTGCAAAACCACATGCTGGCTGCCATGAATAATTAACAGAAATTTTCTAGAGATACTTTATAAGTTGATGTCCACCAACAGAATATACTGGCTTCTTGTGCTCTTTACAGTTAAATCAGGGAAATATTTACAAGAACTGGCCATCTCTTACAGGCAAATTAAATTTTTCAAGCCTCTTTTTCTAATCGCACAGTCAAATAAATGACTAGTGACTTTCTATGACTAGCGCTTTGGAAGTTCTTGGAAGCAAACAGACAAAGAAATCAGCTTTACATTTAAAATATTCCTTATAAAAATGTACATAAAGAATATCAGAAATATCACGGAATTTTAGACTGTGTTGAAATGTGCAAGATCGAAAGTCTTCTATCAACCAACCACCTTTCATGCATAGGATGGAATCAACCAAATCCTGAAGCAGCTCTATAGCAATGTTGCTGGCATCGTAATAAGCAAGCTACCTGTATTTATTCACATTTGAAACCTTTGCTTCAATTAAATTTATTACAACATGATGTAGCAATCACAAGTGATTCCCCAGGCAAACAGCCTTGAAGCAGAAGTTACCAATCCCCCTCTGAATGCAGTGTGAAAAGATCTTTGCCACCTGAACGCTTTTCCATTAGAATGTGGTAGGTCTTCAAGGTTGGATAACCACAGAAATAGCTTGCAATATGCAAGTATACATCTTCCCCTTCTCTCTCTGCAATAGGATGTCACGTCTGGTCATTTGTATTCCATGTTATGGTGTGAACCTGATCTGGTAGGGGGACAGGGTCTTGAGTAAGCAAGAGCAGTTAAAATTCTTCTTCACTGGCTTGAAAACCGTTCTGCGTAAGAAAGAAAACGTGCAACCCAGATGGTAATTAACTCTGTGCATCTTACGAATAACTTCCAACATACTGAATATTGGTGGGGGAGAAAAAAATCTTGTTCCATCTACTGGAATACTATTCATTTTTGCTGGGTAGGTGGTGCGATCTTCAGGGTCTTTAACAAAGCCTGTGGTGGCTACCCTGCTTATTCTAACACCTGGCTGCAATGTTGTTAAGTAACCAAACACGAGAAAAACTAGTGTTTTCGTGATAGGGACCAAATTATATTGCTGGCTCTCCAGAGAGGTCCAGGCTGAAGCTGTACATCCTTTCTTCTCTCTCTTTTTTTTTTCTTTATGCCAGGCAACACAAAGGCAATCAAGAATAAAGCCACAGTTCACAACTGATAAGAGTTCTGACAATCAGTGTTGAACTGGTCCAATCATGGATGTAGAACTGGACAAGGAATTGCTTGGCCTGATGATTATCTCCTCCTTTCCTAAATGTTGGTATTAGGCATTAACATTACTGGTTTTTTTTTTCCTTCTGGCCCTTCTTTTGTAGAAGAAAGGTGATTTTGAAGGTGGTTAAGATACAGACAGACAAGGTTCCACAGTCAAGTACATTTAGGATGTTTTACAGAATTTGTCAAGTGCTTTGGTACTGTGCTTCTCTCACAAGCCACTCCCAGACTTGGTCAAACCTGCAAGTGCGGCATGGAGGGCTCTCAGAAATACACACAGGAAGACTGCTGAGCCACTGTGTAGATCTCTGCTCAGTGGAGATAGGGATCTGCACATCGTAGGAGAAAATTTATGCCTTTAATGTATTCACTCAAACTAAACATCAAGTCCACAGTACATAATGTAATGAGATATTGGTCAAAGATTGAGACTTCTAGGCCTTTAAGCACTTCCGGGCAACATAAGAACCAACACAGAGACAAAATAAACGACAGTGTACGTTTAGGGTTTAAAAAAAATTCATAACTCTTAGGTGATATGACAAGAACACTATGAGGACAGATTATACCAGAAGTACATTCTTCAGTCGAGGTACTGGATCCATCCTGCTTTCACAGATAAGATTCAAGAACGTATAAACCATAGGTCTGAATCGGGGTGATAACTCCTCTTGTCGTAAGTAATACATATATCACTACTGGCCTTCTGCCCAGCTCTGGATTTCCCACTCTGTAGGGTGAAATATTTTGATTTTCCTCTAAGTCATCCAAAAATCAAGACCTAGATTCAGTGTCTGCATTCTACACGTGCATTGTATATTATTGTAAATCAATTTTGGTATCAAAGCTTATGGAGTATATAAAATATATGTTAAATGGATGACCAGCTCAATGCATTAAATAAAAGAATAGAGTTTTTTAACTTAGAGAATCTCAGATCTGGTTCATGTCAATCCTGTCTATTTCAAAATGAGGCAGTGCACACCATCAGGTTTTCAACACTCAGATATACGTATGTGAAAAAACTATCTTTGCTACCCTTCTGAATAACTGTGCAGGAAGTTTTATCAAATACTAAAAAGAAATATCAGAGAAATTTAAAATTCTACACTGTATAATCCCATTGTAACAACAGCCCCAGTTATCACAGTGAACAGCCATGAAACCTCACAGTGGCAGTGCACACACAGGGGGATAATTCTGTCTAAAAGTTACCTATCTGACTGTTATTACCAAGTAAACACTAATAGAGAAGGGAGGTTTCCCATGACCAGTATGGCAGACTTCAGTTATGAGGCTTCCTCCAGCCCCTACCACATTTCTTGGTCTGCACAGCTTTCTGCCATCCATTAGGGGCCTGACAGAGAAACTAAGATGATACATTTCCCAAAGTAAACCAAGGCAACCATTCCCAAGGTAAAAATTATATATAATATACATATGAGAACGTGTGCATATACACATTAGTGACATGCAATCCAAACTGCACCATATTGATAGCTATCGTGTTTTTCAGCTATACAATATGCATTCTAAAATATGTTTTCAACCGACTGCGGAGTACACAAAGTTGAGGTAACACACTAGGAAACCTTTTAAAATTATTTTTAAATTAGCTTCTTTTACTTCTAGGTGAAAAAATGTGGCTTAACTTCAACTTCTCTTTGAAGAAAAAAATACTGCATGATTCTTCCATGAATTTACCTCATCTACAGATAAGCTCTCAGAATGAGCAGTATATCCAGACGTTATTTTGAGAGATATCAAATGTTATTTACACATACAATATCACACAGTACATGAACCACGCAAAAGAAGTGGAAAGCTCTTATCAGACTAGCAGAACAGGATCTGGATTAAAATAACACCAGAATAAAAGGAGGGAAGGAGCAAACAAAGTATAATAATATTAATTAGCCAAGAAAGATACTCAGGAAAGTTCTCTCTCATATGAGATTTGAAGAGGTTTAAAGATGTATATATCTGTATATGTTTATATTGGCAATACTACACCGATTACAGTTTTGCTTCATATCAGTGTTCTTCGCTCACTTGTGTCCTTAGTGTATTGCTACCATGATATCCTAAACAATCTTCCCTGTGATATTTCATTATTCTATTACATGTACATTTTTATATGAACATTTCAAAAATAATTCTATAGGGAAATGATTGCTCAAAAGTGGCAACTGAATTTCACAAGAGCCCTTTTTCAGCTATCATAGCCACAGTGAAGAGGGAACTCTGGAGGGTCTCCATCCTTCTGCAGACTGCTCTATCTTCTCTGCAAGAGATCATTGAGCCCTCAGGCCCAAACTACTCATGGAAAACAGTGGATATTTTCTCTTCTCTAGGCAGTTTGCATGCATTAGATGTTTCAAAAGCATTTGTGCAACTCCTCTGTTATGTTATAGGTAGCCGACTACAAAATATATACATTATTTCTATAGGTAGCTTAATGTCCTCAAAGTTGTAAATTCACCATTTTAAGACTGAATTTAAAAGTAATTTCCTAGGATAGATCTAATCCTGTTTATCATGTGATCATCATCTTTCTGAGCTTTTGCACTTGATAACAATACGTTAAGTTTTTTTGTAAAACTAACAGACGACTTCAAAGAGCACTACTGACAAGATCTTTTTTCCTCTGATCTTGTTCACTGAGCTCTTATTCGAAATACCTTCCCTCCTTTTGGTAAGTGCAAACTTCCTCCATGACTCTTCCCCTGCCACCCCAAACACGTATCCTTTTGGATCTGACAGCCAAATTTACACTTTGTTTTTGGTAGAAGGAGATATGCTACGCCAGACATACCATCATCCATAGTCGTAGGAAAGATGTTTTCATATATTTTTCATCAGCGCAGGCCCTAGTCAGATTTGAACGTATCAGCAAAATCAGATAGTTACCCAAACCCAACCCTCATAATCCTGTCATTAGCCAGAAATCCAGCCAAATACCTAGAATAATAATGATCTTCACGGCACAAGGGGCACTCTTGGCAGATTTCCAGGGCCCCAAAGAATAAAAGTTACCCTGCTGTTATTTATTTATATAGTCCAAAATAAGTGCAGAAGTCATAGAAGCCGTAGCTATTTTTATTCTCCTCAGTAGGAGGATTTTGCTTTAGCAGGAGGTAAATTACTTTCTGTTTACGCTGTCTGTAATAAAAGGCTGCAGTTGAGCGGCCTCGTCCTCACCGCAGTTGTGAGGCGAGGGCCTTCGCACTCTCTGCTCTAAGACTCCGCAGGCCTCGGTTGGCCTTTGGGCTACAATTTGATTGCCCTGCTCTCCAGTAAAACCTTATATTGCACATATTCCATCTCCATGAGGAGCAGTGTATGGGAAAATAGTTTAATAATTAAGCCTATGGCCAGCCCTTGGAGATAATTAGTTTTTACAGACCATTATGCAAGGACCTATAGACCAGGGGTTCTGATTCAGCAGATTACTTGGGCAGACATTGAAACATTTATTCTCAATAAACTTAAGCAGATACCAACTTCAGGCACATGGAAAAGTGCCTGATTGGTTATGAATGGACCTAACCATCCATCTAAACACTTTAATGCATTAGGACCTTGATTCGGACTAACTTTTATGCCAATCTCTACAGTGGGAACATCAACCTGCTCTTCCAAAGCAGCTACCGAACCGCACATATCACCAACTTCATTTAAGTGGGAAGTGGTGTTATTTTCTAGGGGATTGCTATTTTATCGTGTTGTTTTCGGAGGTGTTGGAAGTACGAAACCTTCCTGCCGTGTCACTGCACTCTCTGTGCCACTAGAGGTCAGCCTGCAACAGAACCCAAGCGAACGCCAGATCTGCTGCATGCCGCTCGCCAGCGCTGACATTATTGTCTTTCTCTATTTTATCTATTAAAAAAGATTTCTTCAGAGCCATAACTTAGATCTTACACTAAAATGGAGCAACAGGAAGATATAATGGTGCATTTCATTTATGAATGACCTATAATAAATTACTGTGAAGTATTCCAGGTGCCAAGCACGAGAATGCTTTGTCTGCCCAGGAACGATATTTCACATACTTTAATTTGGCTGACACATAAAACTCATTTGACATTTTGCAGGTATTTCTTTGAAAGGATATTTGGTTCTTGTTGAGCGTTAAAGTATGGAGGTGGGGTAACCTGGGCAGCAGAAGGTCGTTTCCGAGTAGGTTGTTGTCCAAGATCAGCTCCTCCAAGGAGCCGAACGTTTTCAGTCCTTCCAGTGACCTGCAAACGACAAAGGCAACAGGAAAAATGATACTCCACTAAATCAGGGAGGCCATTATGAGCTGAAATAAATATTTTAACCTTCCCTTTCAGGAGTGGGAATAGTTTTGGTTGGGGCCTGTCAGCCGAGTGAATGACAAGAATTAGTGGCGAGGGGAGTGCTGGCACTGCAACACATCCTTCACATGCTGGCAGGATGAAGGATGGGGGTCACTTAGTGAGTAGCCAGGATCCAAAACAAAAGGCTTCAGATATGGGGCCTGCAGGATGAATTTGTCAATGTCTTGTGCCTTCAGGCACCCAGCCTCGCCTGACCCTAACCTCCATTCCCAAGATAAATAACTCTGTCACAGTTCACCTTCATTCCCTGGACACAAATTTAAGTTGTCATCCATCATTTCTGCCAAGAAATATCATACCCTGCTAACAATAATAAATACAACTTCAAGTATCATTTCTTAGCAGTTACCTTACATGCAATAATAGGAAATGGAGAAGGGATTTTTTTTTTTTTTATTAACCGCTTAATTGCTTCTCCTCAAGCCCCTGCAAACAAAATAAAATGTTCTCTACAAAATAAAATGCAGAATTATCCCAGACAGAAAAGGCATTTGCTTTCTTTTCAGAACTTGCTGTCCCACTGTCAAGCCACAGGTCAGACTGCAGAGAGCAGCTTTAAAAAAGGAGCATTTCACAACATGGAAGTACAGATGAGGGGCTGTAAATAAACAAGATTCGGGAGGTATTCATTCCTCCGAGAGCAAAGCACAGGGAAAAAAAAAATAAAAAAGAGCACTTCGGAGCCTTGTTAAAGCATCCATTCCAAATGTGATTCTTAATGCCTGCACATTCCAACAGGAAAAAAAAAAAAAACACACATTAATCTAGTAAGACGCATGGTATACAGAGCATACGCACAGACACACATTCACAGCTCATTCACCTACCAGACACCTAGAGATATGCTGAGATTGCATGACTTGACAGCTGATCTACTATGCCTACCAGTGGGAAGATCATCACTGTTTCTCCTGGCTGTTTTATAAAATGTGATGAATAAGGGAGATGCAGTCTAGACTATTTATTCACTTTCCAATGACATTTATACTGAGGGGATTTCCTCTCCCTTCCCCAGTTTTTGGGCAAAGAGCAAAACAGAGCCAAGGTCTCTGCTGGAGGGTCATAGAGGCTGTACTACTACTGGAAGAAACTACCAAAAATATTAAAAAGAGGTTCAAATTAGATAGTTTAACATTCACTTGGTCAACAAAAACAAGAAACATTTGCTGTAGCTACAGCTTACTGAGCCTTTGAAGCACAGCTAGAATTGGTGCCCTGCCCCATAACTAGCTCCTTTGGGAAAGCTCCGTCCAGCCCCACGCTCACCCAGCACAGCGGTCATGTGCGAGGAGCTGCAGCAAGCCACTCATTTCGGCAAAGGTGGCCCAACTGACTCGGTTTTGCCAAAGTCAAGATCAGAAATGTGCAAACATGTCAGACATTCCAGTGCTTTCCTCCAAGTACCTTTAAAAGGGAAAACAATCCAGGGGAAGTAACAGGGAGTCTATCAAGCTGCTATGAGTTTTCAGCTCAGTTTATTTGACAAACCTAGTTTAGCAAATTCCCCTTAAATACTCTTTATTATATAAATAGTGGATTATTTCCAAACCTCACATTCTAATGCAAGACTTGGACTTGCCAGAGGAGTTCAGCGAAGGCCACCTCCTTGTCAACACCACGGAGCCTTATGGGATGTTAATAGGTCCTTTGTGACAAAACATCGCTGGGGCTCTGGTCAGTGTCAGCATCCAAATACACATTGTTCCTGAGTTATGTTATGCAAATATAATACCCTTATCATTTGAATCAGCAAATGGTTGGCAACTGGCAAGGAGAAGAAAGCGCACATCCAAAACTGCTGCAGGGGAGGCATAAAACAAAATGACAAGCCATGAAGTGGGACAAAAGGCCTCGAAACACTAGAAGGAGTTGCCTATTGAACCAGCCTTTCTTTCAAAAGCGCAGGCTGAATACAAGGGTACTAGTTTCATAGATAGGCAGAGAAAATTGTGCGCAAATCTCCTTACACCTGTCTGGTTTTGATAATTTTTGCCATGTAATGTTATTAGCTGCTCAGTTAAAAAGGAGCTGTGTTACACAGGAGGTTGCTTATTAATTGTTGTTTTCATGTCATCAGAGCAATGTGCACTTGGTGATTTAATCAGCTAAATTCACAGTCCAGGGAGGTTGGAGGGGTTGCCACAGTACAGGGACAGAGTATAGACATTAACATAAATTTACATCCATATGTTATTTTACTCTTTGCACAGTTCTGATTTTTTTTCACCTTACACAGAAAGAAAGGCCAGCACCAAAGCTGTTAAGAAAGTTGGTAAAGTTAAAAAAAAAAAACATGTGCGTGTTTGCTACCATTCAGTGATATTGGCTATCAAACACAAAACAAAATCTCTGCCATCACAACATATAAGGAAAGGTTTCCCAGCAGGGACTGAAATATTTCCTCTGTGACTGGAAAGCCAATGCTCTACGTCCAGTCCACGCAATAGATTCAACACTGCCAACTCGAGCAAGTCACAGCAGGCGACAATTCCTCATCAGCAGGTGAGCGGTAACGTCGCCCACCTAAGCAGGGATGGCATTAGTGAATTAGCCCATGCAAAGTATTTTCAGAGCATGAGGTCAAAATCTATAGCGGACACAAATGCCAGTGTTTTTATTTTCGCTGAGGGTAAGGCAGTTATTCTAATGTATTCAAACTATTTCCTTGTGAGCACATTACAAAAGAGCAAAGCAGGAGCCTATACACAGCAAAAAAAAATCACCCTAAAACACACGAGCAAGTATAAATGGAGAATTCAATGGAGAGGCCTGTCCGGAGGCCAAAGCTGGACTGTTTGCTCCTAGTCCCCAGCAGAAGGATGGCCCCTCCGCCCCGGTGTGAAGAGCCCGGCGGCACCGCGCAGGTACCGCTCGCTAGAGCGCAGGGAGCCGACGCGCATCTCGGCCGCGGGTCGCGGGCGCTGGGGCCCACTCGGGTGACACGGGCGCCGGTGGCCGCTCGGGTGACACGGGAGCTGCCCCTTGTCTCAGCCACAGGCACCGTCCCGGCCGCCCCATGGCCGGGCGCGCGCGCCGCTCCCGCAGGAGAGCGAGTGCTGCCAAGAGATTTCCATTGCAATTTCCAAAGCCACATCAAACCGACAAAACATCACAACGCATTCAGCTCTGCCTCATTCAAACTGAAAAAACTTTAAGTTTCCACTGTAATTAACCCTATCCTCGTTAAGATAATTATGATCAAGCTCCCTGTCACAGCTAATATCACAGCATCATTGCCTATGGCTCACGCTTTGCCCTCATTAGCTTACAAAAACACTGTGCTAAACAGGAAAGTGACTCCCTCTGCAAAACGACTTAAGATGCTCTGTAACCAGACAGTAAATAATCCTCTAGAATACAAAGGTCTCAGAAATGTCATTTTATCCAAGTCCTTCAGCTAATCAGTAAGATTTCTTCCAGCTTTCTTTTCCATAATTCATTCATGATTTGCAGCAAAGTTTTAATCATAAAGGAATGTCACTGCTGAGATTTTTTCTGTACGTGCATGCATGGCAATTGTCAACTACACTATTCCTTACAGTCCCTCTGGCACGACGGGGATTCGGTTACAAGGAAACTGCAGAGCAGCTCTTCATTTTGGTAATATTTGATAATGAAAACATGAGACATTAGAAATGTAAAGCAGCAGAGATCTCCCAAATAATCTCTCAGACCCTGCTACTACGCGGCTGTCCTTGTCTGCAAGAGCAATCTGTTCAGAAGTGTATTCCAAAGAGAAAATGTTCCTCACATTTTACCCCACCCCTCCATTAATAAGACAGCTGACTCATTTCTAACGACTTTTTCCTCCTGTTTAACAGGAAAAGGGAGAGCAGTTAACAGTATGTAAATGAGAGAGTTTGGCTTTTGCCTTTAAATTGATTTGTACTCTGTTGACAAGAGATAGCCATTACCAGAAGTTAAAGACAGAGCTGTTACAAAGGAAAAGCTTTTAAAAATACCTCTTTCCTTTCATGTTTTAACAATTTAAAGAAGAGCAGAATCAACATGAGAACTCTAGCACTAGATAATTTCAGTATTTAAAGAATATAATTGTAATTTCCATTTCCAACACCTGCCTGCCGAGGACCACTTTTTTTTTTTTTTTTTTTTTTTAAACATTAATGAATTACAGTTCAAAAACCTGCTGGACTTAAAACTCCATTTTCTAGTAAAGCAGGCAGAGGTTAAGTGACTAGCAAAAGGTGACCCTCAGCAATTTTCTACAAGAGAAGAAATAAAGCACAGAGCACCTGACTTCCAGTCCCATGACTTAACCCCAACAAAACGAAAAGCAACAGATAAATGTTATACACACATAAAAACATAACACAGACACACGCAAAATTTGGGGGTCTGCATGATTTCCTGAGAACGTAAAATATCATTTCAGCTTTACTTGCTATGCCTCCTGTTCAATGTTAAATTCTATTTAATTGGAAATACAGCGCACAAACAGGGCAGGTGGGGAGGACGTCTCGCGGCGTGAGCCCTCTCAATGTTACAACCACACAAATACTATGAACCAACGCTCCGGGTATTTCCTACCCACTAACATAGCGGTGGCTGAGAAGCTACAAGTAAAGCATCATAAAATGACCTCAACACCAACCAAGCGAAGCAGCTTTTCTTTTCTGTGGCCATACCTGGTGCGCACCCCTTTCTCTGCCCGAGAATCCGCCCAAGGAGAAGGCACCCAGGACTAAGTCATGGGGAGCTGGGGTATAACTTTGGGACCATGGATGCCAAGAAACGCCCAAACTCCAGCACTGCTGCACCTCAGCATGCCTCTGACTAGGTAGTTCTCTGGTTTCAGCAAACAAATACGAACACTGCTGAAGGAGCCATTTTTCCCTTGTGTGAACCAGCTCTCTATCAGA